AGATTAGTTGATGTACCCATTAGAAGACCTCTGCATACCCCCAGCGGTATATATACCCCTAGTTGAGAATCGCTGATCTAAAGAGCATGCCAAGGTGCAGTACTCTTGCAAGGTGCAGGCTTATGCCAAAATTGAGCAACCTTTCCCAATCTACCTGTTATTTTCACTGTCACTAGCATTCTTATGAGGGGCAGGGGGATAACATTGGCTGCAATATCTAAGTTAAAAGATATCAAATATAAAATCTATTGGGTCAGATCTTGAGCTGGTTTCAATTTGCATAATTCCATTGGAGCTCATCCATTGTACTTGGAACCTCATTCATATCAGCACTTCATCTCCTTTAGCTCTGTGATCACACTATAATAGGCTTCATGTCCTTTTCAAATATATCACAGACTGAAAATGTTGATGTTATGACAACAAACACCCCAGCTTGCATCTAGAGACCCATTTTAAAGAGTGCGTCTTACATCCGCTATCATTTGATCAAACTTAGCTCCTGTTTCTGTGAACCACTTGTAAACATCAGTGTAAGTTGTGCTAGCATACTATAAAAACATCCAAATAGCTTCTCTTCTATTTACAAGATGTGTGCCTTTCTGTTTTTGTCATAATATATGCTTCAGTTCATGACTGCCTGAGTTAACACACATTAATGGGCATGCAAAACTGCCTGTGTTATGTTGTTATTCTGTTTTTCCAGTTGTTTATTATATATGTTTTGAAAAATAGCTTAGTGGATAGACACAATGGGAGCTAAGGATGTGTACTGCCTCTCAGAAGATGTTCCGCTTCTTGCTGGATCTGACCTCATATAATAATTCTGTGCATTGCTTATTATTTTACAAACTTACTTTTGGGGCAAGATATTCCTATTGTTATGAAACTCTCATAAATGTTTATATGAGTTAGTAATAGTAATATCTAGGGGGGCAACTAAGATTGGGGGCAAGACTGTGCTAGATGCCAGCCAAACATACAGGAAGAGACAGGCCTTGCCTCAAAGAGCTTACAATCTAGACAAGATAAACAAAGACAGAGGGCTGGCAAGTTGCAATACCTAAGGTCAAGTTGCAATTCTGAACTATAATTATGGAAGGGCCCAAGATCTGATTAGCAGTTTGAACCAACAAAAATGTCTTGGATGTGGGGTGGGGTTTTGGTTCTACCCTTTATAAAGATAAGGTCCACTTGTGAAATTTGAATTCAGGTCTGAATTTGGATTTCAAACACCTGTAAAGTTCAGACATGTTCCTCTAGAGGGTAATGTGTTTGAAGATGCAGTCAGTGGAATTCTAAACTCAGAAGGCCAGATCATCAGCTGGTGGAAATCAGCATAGTGCAATTGACGTTAATGGAGCTGTGCCAACTTACACCATCAAAACTTGCCTTCTTTTGGTATGTTTATGCCTCATAGCTAGGCTTTTTCATACATCCAACTGGAAACTTAAATCCATTTACCATTCAGATGTTTTTCATGATGTTCCTACCTCCATTGCTAATTACGACCCTGATTCAGAAAAGCATCTGCTTAAGGGCTTTCCTGCACTAGAGCCCAATAAAGCTACAGTATTTGGGGCAAGTTTTGCCCTAAAATATGCACTGATATCAGTGGGGTTCTCCACACAGTTTAGAGGGCAGCATTTGGTCCCTTGTATTTAAGTCTCTTGCAGCCCTACTGCACCTCCAATGGGATCCTGATAGGGCCAAAGTGTGTTGTCAGTGGGGACTGAATTCATGTAAATGAGATCAGAATTTGACCCAAGATGATATCACAAATGAATTGCACACATTTCCATAAGAGCAAGTTTTGTTGCTGCAGGATCATGCAAAAAGAGAATTCCATCTGTGAGGCAGTAGGTGAACCAACACCAGGAACTCAGAAAAATATTTGCCAGTATCTTTTTGAGTCAGTGATCTATTTTCCCAAAATTGCTGCAATATGAAAGTTCTCCTTTAATATAATCTTAATATAGTGATATGCACTTTAATATTAGTTGTAATTTCACCAGCATAAGACGTATTCAGATTAGACTTTTGGCTCTTAGAGAATCCAGTCTTCCTTTTCTACAGTCTTTGTACAGCGCCTAGCACAATGAGGTTCATGACTAGGGCTCCTAAGTGCTACAGTAATACAAACACAATCAAATAAAATAATACACCGGGGGATTGAAAGAACTCACTGACTCGGGACTGAAATCACTTTCCCCCAGGGGGATGGTATCTGACACTACCCAGTATTGACGTGCTACAATAATAACATTAAATTGACTTCTAGAAGGAGCGTGTGTGGTTACCGTTTCCATTGTTACTGCAGTTTTACAATGATGCCTAGAGCACGTTACCCCCCTTTTTTTGTTATACATCTAAATAATTGTATTGTTTAATCCATTAAAACGACGTTATTTGTCATGAACTAAGGGTGAAAAACCTCCACATACCAAGCCGTTTCTGTCTAAGCAACAGTTAATCAACTGCATCATTTAAGCCCGAGTTGATCGAGGCTTCTTCTTTTTCTTACCATAAATTCATGGGTCTCTAGTTTTTGTTTGAGGCACTACAGCAGCATCCCGCTCGCGGCAATGCCTGCGATGAAACGTACACTACACCCCTTCTCAGCCCTTCCTCGGAGCCCGCCCGAGTTCTGATCAACTGCATAAAGGCTTGAAGAGCTCTTTTGATTACCGCGCAGCAAAGAAACAAGTGTATCATCAAACACAATAGCATCATTTTCATCCAGACAACTGCCCTCAAATGCCATTGAATGCGTTTTAACAGCCATTCACTCGTGTGCTTTTAATTTCTAGACGGCAAAACCAAGGGTCTCGTGAAACTGCCAACATTTTTTCAATAGGAAAATAATGTCAGCGTGGTATACACAGGAGGAGACTCTGCAGATAGATTGCAAGGCGTCTTACAGCTCACCGATGAAGCAGAAAACAAGGGATGAGAAAAGGGGAAGTTTCCAATAAATCCCGATCGTTATATGTAGGTTGATGGACTCAGTGTTAATACAGAAATTCGGATCACACGGTTAATGTACAACCTAATGGCAACTGTCGCGTTTGCAGGGGGTTTTTGAATGAGACACTTCAACAGACTTAGTTATAACACTTCCTACCTGCCACCGATCTGATCGTCTCAAGTTAATTTCAAATGCACGCGTTGATTTCTCTAACAGTAAGCGTCCTGAAGCCGTAACGTTAGCCCGACGACTTGCAAACACAGACACCAGCAAACCTGACACCCCCGACAACAGATCTTGTGTATCACAGTTTGATGTCGCTTATGTGTTTTCAAACAGTAGGTTTCCCATAAAAACACATTAGTACGTGAGTCTCATTGGCTGGATTTTACCTCCCGCTTTACTGGAAATTTAACTTGACTGTATGTTACCAATTATTAAATGTTCAGAACAGCTAAGTGTGTTAAGATATTCAACTGGAGATTAGCACCTCTCATCAAGATAGTGATGGGAAATCTTCTTGGTAAAATATCGTGTCAGGGTCCTTTATCGGGACTTTTCTATGGGGGTGTTTTACTTCTTGTTCTTGTGTGTTTTTACACATACATTCACCCACGAAAGCTTATGCTCCAATACATCTGTTGGTCTTTAAGGTGCCACAGGATGCTGTGTTGCTTTTTACATATAACTTGGTAATGGAGATGAGATGTGTTGGCATTAGAACAAACTCTGTCTCTAGTTCATCATTCTGACTATAAGCTCGCTCGGGAAGGGCTCGGGAGGTTGACAAAGCCAAGTTGCAAGCTCTGAATCTGATTAGCAGCCTTGCCCGGCTCTGGATCCGGGTTGACGGCAGGTACCTCTCATGCGGGACTAGAGTGGAAAGTTTTCTACCCGCTTGGCCTTTCATAGTAAGAAGTCGGTCGCTGTTGCTTTCCGCTCCCGTCGGGAAATCTCATTCAAGGATTTTTGTCAATGGGAGAGCGCCCTGCTCAGCTCCCCCGACCCAGCTCCGGCTGACGTCACTAACGAGGCGATAAATATCTGTTGATATAATTGGATGTGAGATTCTGTGTTGTGATAGCAAAACTCTGCCCATTGCTGCTCCGAAAGGGCCCCCATGATTTATTCAGCAGTGGATCGGGGCACGCAATCGAGCTGTCAAGAAAGCGTCAGCTTATTAGGCAAGTGCTGCGTGATTCCAGAAGAGGGTCTACGCTATAAAAATCACGCACCCGGGCTCTGATTAGGAGAAAATCTGATCACAAGTTGGGGAAGAGACGGCGCGGACAGAGTGACAGCGGGACCTCGGCAAGCCCCCAGTCCGGACAGACTCCACCTGCCCTACGAACCGGCAGCGGCATCGCTAAGGTAGGCAGCGATCACCGGCGTGAGCCGCAACCGAGCAAACTTCTGCCTGCCCGGGTGCAGCTGTGCGGCTCGGACTGACGAACGCGCGGCTGGGGGGCGAATGGCTTCAGATACTTCCAATGAGCCTGGCTAACCAGCTCCGAGGGGGTCCCGCGGGAGGGAGCAATGACCTCGGGGCCGCGGGGCCGGGTGTAATATTGCCTGAGAAGCAGCCAAGCCGCTGTACGTCTTTAAACGGGACACTTGCTCCCTGCCCAGCACCAGCTGGCTGTCGTCCCTCGGTTGCCGGCGGCTGTACAGCGCCGGGGCTTTCTCCTCTGTAGGCAGAACCTGGGCCCGTCGGGGGCTTGCTCCTTTCAGCGCCTCTGAGACGCCGGGGCAGCGCTGTAAACCAGCCGGAGAAGGAAACATCTCCCCCGCGCCTGGGGCAGGGCCAGAGACTGGGGGGCGCCGGGGGCGGCTGATCGGTTCAGCACCTCGGACAGCGGCTCGAGCAGCTCCCTCCCTGGGGTCGGCCGGCAGCCAGCCGCACCGCCCGGGCTGTGAGCGCCCCTGTCCCGACGGTCTAACTCCAACGCGGCAGGTTTTCTCTCCCCGCCCCGCGCCTTCCCCTCCCTCCTCCCCCCGCTTCTGTCCCCAGTTGCAGATCCGGGCGTTGATCATGAAGCTCCAGCTGTTGGTCTCCACAGGGATCCTGCTGGTTGCTCTCCTGCCCTACCATGAATGCAGAGCCCTCGGCAAGAGCCCCCCTGCCGCCGCCGGCGCTCCCCTGCCGCCCGATTTCCTCCAGCCGCCGCCGAGCCTGCCCGTGCTGCTCCGCATGGGAGAAGAGTATTTCCTGCGGCTGGGCAACCTCAACAAGAGCCCCGCCGCCTCCTTCTTCGCCTCCAGCAGCAGCCGCCTACCGCCCGGCGCCCCCGCCACCAACTTTTTCCGAGCAGCGGTGCAACAGCTGCAGCAGCTCCCCGAGCGCTCGCTAGAGAGTGCGGCGGGCCCCGGGGAGGGGGAAGCCGAGAGCCTGCCCCGGGAGGCGATGGAGAGGGAGAAGCGATCCGAGGAGCCCCCGATCTCCCTGGATCTGACTTTCCACCTCCTCCGAGAAGTCTTGGAAATGGCCAGAGCCGAACAGTTAGCGCAGCAGGCTCACAGCAACAGGAAACTGATGGAGATCATCGGGAAATGAAGCGGCCTCGCCTTGCCAAAGAGATTCTGCAGTTAGCACAAAATGATACAGTATTATATACCATAGTGCTACTCTGATGTCATCTCTTTATTTTTCTATAGCTTTAAACATAGAGGGTGTACGCTGAACAGAGCCCATGTCCCTTGGTTAGCATGCACAGCAGTGTATTCCCGTGCAGTGACGAGAAAAGTGTCATTTGTAACTTTCCCACCTTTATTTTTCCATTTCAAAGTTGTTCTAGTGACATCGCTACTTAGGAGGGGGACAGCGGAAGAAAGGTTTCAAAGAAGCCGTTGGACAAGAGAGATACTTTTCTTGTGGGAAAAGGTGTGTGTTTGTATGTGTGGGGGGATCTCTGTAAGCTACTGCGACTCAACTTTTTCCTGTACCATTTCCGTAATAAAACATCTTTTCAGCGCTCGGTCAATTTTGTTGTGTAAGAGAATGTTTAATATTTATATTTTTAATAAAAGCTGCAAAGTAACTGTGGTTTTATAGACTTTCTTGCCTTATGGTCTTCTAGATTCAGCAGGGGTTTCCTTTCTGTATATATAAAAAAGCTTTTCCTGAGCTATTTGTTTGGGGGTTTTTTTACAGACACCCACCCGTAACAGCGCTGAAATGAAACGGAGGATTGGTCAACAACTGCACGCGGATAGCTCAAGAAGAGAGAGGTGTAAGATGAGTGTATGTAAATTATAGGACACAGCTAAGGGTATGTCCTGAGGATACAGCTAAGGGTATGGGTCTGTACAAGGACTTTAGTGCAGTTCAAGGGTCTCTGGGATATTTATGCTTTCTCCCGGTTATATTCTTTAACACCTCATGCACTACATGTACAGAAAATGCATCCTTCAGGGTACTTAGCAGCATTTTCACTCTCCGCTCCCAAATTCAATTGTTTAACTCAGCGCTGTTAAAAGAAAATGCCTCCAATCTAAAACCTGTCGTTCAAACAGCCAGTCTAGCCCCCTCCCCATTTTTCTTGTCTCCCATTTAAACAAAATGAGGGCGGCTGTGCTGGGTTTACAGGAATGCAATTTAAAACAAACCAAGGAGCTGGAAGATTTTTGCACCTGACAATTATTTTACATGAAGTTTTGCGGGGATTAAGCCACACGCTTGGCAATGCCACTGGTGATTGCTTTGAAAAGTTGAATGCTTAATGTTGAAAAAACAATTCTGTTCACGAGAAGAAACGTTTCTACAAAACGCTTTAAACAGATATAAATGTACTCGCCTCCTTCACGCTAACCTCACCATATAGTCTATCGAGAGGCCAGATTTGAGCGAGCTGCTGTGTGTCCAGCAACTCAACCATCCCCTGCATGAGTAAACACTTCTGACGCAGGGTATAATGCCACAACAGCCACTAGGGAAGACTGGACGCCTTTTTGAACTGTCTAAACACACACAACGCCTAATCCTGCACTAACACACTAACTCACTCACACCAGTGGGAGTTTGGGGGCGTGGGGAACGGAGAACTGGGCTCCCAATATTAGCACAATAGGTCCTGTGTTAACTTCAAAGCAGATGTTCCAATCTCTTGGGTGGAGCACGCACTTTTATGAAAGTCTCTAATTAGGGATTACACCTCACACTCTGTAACATGCCCTGAAGGGTCTATAGTGTGACTGGCCGAATGGGAATTTAACCCCAAAGGATTAAATTGCTCTAAAAGGAGGGTTCAGTCTCTGGAGTATATTCTCCTCCTTGGGCCCTACACTGCCATCCTTGTAGGTAAGAATTTCCCATTGAATACACCTGGAGTTTTGTGAATGGAGAAACGGCAGGATCTGGTGGGCCTGTAATTAACATTAATTAAGTGAGCGTTGAGTTCGGGGATGCATCTGTGTGCAGGCTGCGCTCTAGCAGAGAAATGCACTTTATGGTGTCATGAAACTGATTTTTAAAATGTTTGGTTTAAGGCACTCAAGTGCTATTGATTTTGTTAAACACTTTAAATTCTCATATTCGCATGAGTACGTGAAACGGACAGTTCCTTACTGAATTCATACAGCTGCCATATTGATGAAATCAGCTTTCTCCTATTATCATCTTATGAATCATCAGAAAAAAAGAGTTCAAAGAAGGATTTTGTGAAACCAATGAAGACAAGTCTGAGTCCTGGTTGCAAATATTCATTAGGAATTTCTTGTCAAAAAACAAGAACAAAATCTTGTGGAAAAAACACAACTGGATGTGGTGATGAATTTTACTGCTGTTCAGTGAAGATATAACTCTTAACATATGCTTTGTTATTTCAAAGCTCTTTACAAACATTAACTAATTGATCCTCAAATCCATCCTTCATAGTCCCATTTTACAGGAAGAAAAACAGAAACAACATAGATAGTAAGTGGCTTTCCAAAGGCTACATTGCAAACTGTTGTCAGAATTGGGCTTTTGTATTCAAGAATTACTTGGCTCCCACATTAGACTATATTGCCTTCTAGCATGTATTAATCAACCATTTCATGCTATTGACTATGGTACCATGAAAAAAAAAAAAAGCATGTCTTCATGGTCAGTCATGGTACTATAAGAAGAGCTATGTATTCAGGGCCTGATCCAAAGCCCATTGAAGTCAGTGGAAAGATTCCCCTTGACTTCAATGGGCTTTGGATCCCTCTCTTAGACCCTAACCCTGTAAGATATTGATCACTCTCAAAGACTATTGAACTCTTTCAGAGATGATGACAGTCAGCACCCATTAGGAAATACAGTATTCAATTCTGTAATCATTTTTCCTTAGAGTGTTAGGGTGAAATCCTGACCCCATGGAAGTCAGTGGGAAAACTCCCAGGATTTCACCTTCAGAATCAAATGCAATGTCAATCTGCTCACCATTTTAAAAGGCATGTCAGTTTATGTAATCAGTTTCATTAGTTAAATATCTGTAGTACACTTCTCTCTGCACTGTGGTAGCCTTTTCCATGGGTTTATAATCTTTTAAATGCAATCTTTAACAGATACTTGCAATAAACTCATCACAGTTCAGCTCAGAATGGTCTTTTGTGGTTTCAAAGGTCTTGCCCTTTTACTATCAAATTGCTCAATATGATAAAAGTGAGTGTTGATTTCATGTATTAAAGGAAGTTGAGAAGCTATAGGTATAACAGATATGGATATAGACAGGCACAAGCTGACATACTCATCCAGAACCCTCTCCTTGCCTTTTGAGGAAGTACAGATAATAAACCACATACCAATCCATATCCCACATAATTTGGGAAGGGTTCCAATCCAGTGCTTCCTATAGCTATATCTTTAATGTCTACAGCTATATAAAATGTAACACCAAATAACATTTCTGAATGGTTCAAGTGTTATTCATTGTGACCTATGAACCTCAGCTGGAAAATACAAATCTAAGGGTGAAATGCTCCTCTTGCCATCCCCATTTATGCTCAGTTATTACACATCAGCATGCAGTAGCACCACTTGTGCTGGAGTAATGCAGCACAGTGGTTGTGTTGAGTGGAGTTTTAGACTTACCTTTGAATTCTGTAGCTTTCATCAAGGATTTGCCACAAGCATTATCAATAAGTTGAAAAGATGGAGTTACTCCAACTGGAGTAATTAAGAGTAGTGAGGGGGTCATATTTTCATTGACAAATGATGCCATTAGTCATATTTCAACTAACAGTGTTGGGTAAGCACTTACAAAAATACAACAGGACACCCAGGCTGGCTACAAACAATCATAGTGCTCACTAATTTTGCAACTGTAATTATAGCATGAAGCTTCTGTTCAACATTCTCCTTTCTGAAACAGGTTTTACTTGAACACACAGTCAAATTTAATATAGTATTTCATCAAGACATCTATTAGTCCAGTTTTCCCACTCCCTTTATTCAGCTATTTCCAAACATCACTCTAATCTAAAAGTATCAGATACAGTCTCATGGAATTCAAATAAGGCCCTTGGAATTAAACCTGATCAAGATGTCTCTTATATGGACTATTTCTTGTTGGTTCCAGCCAGGTCACTTGCTGCCTCATAGCTCCTCTCAGGTAAGCACATCCAAAGCCAGCCGGAATGATACTCATCATTCATTCAATGAGTTTAACCAGGAGAAAGAGAAGACATGACGAGCCGGCTCATCAGCTCTTTCACTGCTCACTGGAACGTCTTCCACTTGTCCTTGAGGGGATGGTTCAGACCCAGTCTGTATGAGAAAGAAATGTTTACAAGGGGAAGAAGAAAAGCTCATCTTTTAAAGCTGGGATTATGTTTTCAATACGATTCTATAATACTGGCTTCTTTCTATCAATAAAGTTTGACAGGAAGTAGAAAGAAGGAAAGATAATGAACATGAAAAGCCTTTGGGGGGCAGGGGCCATGAATGAAATCCTGGCCTACTGAAGCCAATGGGAGTTTTGCCATTGACTTCAATAGGGCCAGGATTTCACCCCATGTGTTTGCATAGCTCAAAAGGCCTCCAATTCTTACATGAAATCAAGTATATTTCCCACAGTAGGATACTACACAATGTGAGTAAGGGTATCCTACTGTGGGAAATATACGTACTTGATTTCATTGGGACTGTTTGCAAGTAAGGTATTATTTAAAATGAGTAAGGATGGTAGAATCGTGTCCTTTAACACTAAATATGTCTCAACCATTTATAACAGTTGCATAATGTAAAGTTATCAAAATCATGGTGCAAACATATGTACAGGTATTGACAACATATCACAGATACTCATGAGGAACTACAGCATAGAATGGATGATTATTTGGCATTTTCCAAGCAATTTTTGTAAGTATGTAATGTTAAAATCCATACTGGAATTAGTGAGAAATGATGGTCTGTTATGTGTAAGTTGGCTAATGGGCTTCATTCCAGTTACTGTCTACTTGGACAATGTCATACCACTATAGAATAAGTCCTAAAGTCTCCTGAACATGAACACAAGTAGTTTCCTGTTTCTTTTCCTATATCTAATTGAAGTTTTCAGTTTATTTTTAAGGGCCAGATCCTTAATTAGTATTCATTGACATAGCCCCAGTGGTTTCAATAGGGGTAATTTACACCAGCTAAGAATCTGTCCCTAAAACTTGAAAGACAGATTAATCTAGCCTCTTAATTTGGACAAGATTATCAAAATGATGCATCTCTGTTGCAGGTTCAAAATGTGATGTGCAAATTTGGTCATGTTATTTACATTTAAATTTTCAATGGCTAACACTTTCCAGTGAGTAAACCTATTGTGCACTTGAACGAGAGTGCAAAAATTAGTGGAAGACCTGGAGGAAAATTACCTATTTAAGCACCAGAGTTCCTTTTCAGCAAGGTTGTAGAGAAAATTTGTCTCCTAAACTTAGTAAACAGGTTTGTCTGCCGCGTTGTTGTGGCCATGTTGATCCCAGGATATGAGACAGACAACGTAGATGAGGTAATATCTTTTATTGGATCAACTTCTAGAAACTTCACAATATGAAGGAGAAGGAAGCCAGACTAAACATTACTTCCTGAGCAAATGCAAGAACCCAACTTATATTTAGCTCAGACACTCTGGTCACTTCCCCAGACTTGAAGAGCTCTGTGAAGCTTGAAAGATTGTACCTTCTACCAACAGAAGTTGGTCCAATAAAATATATTACCTCACCCTCCTAGTCTCTCTCAAATTTGCACATTTTAAAGAATTAGACACACAACAGCCAGATCCTCGGCTGAAGTTCTGGCCCACAGGCCTGAAGAATAATGTGTGTAAAAGCTTTTGGCCAAAACTTCTAATGTGGGTTCCTAAAGTTAGATGACAACAGTAAATAAGTGGCCTGGTTTTTATAAGTGTTGAGCACCCAGCACTTCCCTTTGCTTGACTTCAATTGGTGTGGTAAGTGTTCAGCACTTCTGAAAATAAAGCCATTTGTTTGGGTTTGTTATGTAGATTGAGATGCCTAAATTTAGGGAATCCACGTTTGAAAAGTTTGCCTTTTACTTTCAAATGTGCAACTGAAATGCCTAGAACAGCTAAAAATAATTATCATTATGCATGCACGTTTTTGTGCACCCAAGTCCCCAGTAGGACACTTAATATACAACCTTAGTGCATAGTCTTAAATGTCTGGCAAATGATTAATAAAAACACCCACCTCACCTCTGATTTCTTCTCTAAAGCTGCCTTATTATTCTATCATTTATCTTACTGTACAGAATCAGCCCGATGGATCACTTCCACTTGATGTTCCAACAGCTATTTCATTTTGGTTTTCAGACTATGGGCTTGATCCAGCAAAGCACTTAGGCCCAGATCCACAAAGGTACGTAGGCTCCTAACTTTCATTGACACAATGAAGGTTAGGATCCTAACTAACTTTGTGGATCAGGGCCTTAAGTACATACTTAACTTTAAATCAACAGGACACCTCACAAGCTTAAATTTAAGCATATGCATAAGTGCTCTGGTGGATTGGGTCCTAAAAGAATTGGGAAGAATAAAAGAATAATTACTCGGTCTTCTCTACATTAGGAGATACATATTAATTAACACATGGTAGACCTTGCCTGCTGACACAAGTTTAAACCCAATAATCTTTTGTCTATATGTCACAGGGTGGCTGGCCCCAGTAAATGAAGTGGGTCCAGCTCCCCTGTGCCAGAGCTGGTGCTCCCATTTAGCCAATTATGAGAGTGAGGCAGCACCTGGGGGCTATAAAAGGTCAGGGAGAGACCTACTGAGGGAGAGTCCTGGCGAGAGTTGGTCAGGAGACTGGAGGAGTCTTGGGGAAAGTTGCAGAAAGATCTTTGCAGGCCCTTTCTGGGAAGAGGAAGGAATGAACTAGGAGACTGTATGTCTGGGACCAGGGAAAAGGCTGAAGGCAGAAGAGCAGTGAGAGTGGTTTGCTGGCTGTTATCCCCAAGCCAGAGAACCAGGGATGGAGACAGCTGAAGGCAGGGGAGCAGCAGAGGAATTTACCAACTGACATCTCAGGGCCAGAGAGCTTAGCCCAGAGTGAAAGGGCCAGGGAGAATGAAGGAAGGTGCACTGGCAAGGATGTTCCCAGCAGAGAGGCTGTGGGGGGGTTTCCCATTGGGAAAAGCCTGGTTACATTCCAGTTGGAAGGGCTGTCCTGGTACAAGGACAGGACTGGGCTATACTGGATAGCTAGGGCATGGTGAGACTCCAGGGCTGCACTGAAGAGCCGGGCCATGGTGAGGGACACCAGAGCTGTGCTGGAGAGACAGGCAGTGGTGTGGTCCTAAACTGCAGCATCTCCGTCCCCAGGCTGCAGGGAATGGGGCACAGTGGTGTAGTGGAGCTGGAACGCTGTTCCAGTGTCTTTTAGCTCCATCACACTACTGGAGCCAGGGCCTGGAGAGGGACGCTGGGGCTGGATGTTACCTGTAGTGTTTGGATTATGCTGGGGGCAGTCTGGACTATTCTTGTGGGACTTTTGTTCTGATTTATGTGCATGGGATTTTGTAATAAATGAGCCCCGCAAGAGCTATATTTATACTTGGGAACACTCTGTGGACTATTTCTGGGGACTCTGAAGGAGGGGAATTGAGGCAGGCCTGCTTGTTATACTGCAGTCTGCCACAAGAGAGCACTCCAGGCGGGGGGCAGCCCTATGACACTACATCAAGTACTAAATCAGATCTAACATTGTGCAGACTAATACATGTTATAACATGATGGTATTTCCCAGTTTAGGCACAAACTTCAAGACTCCTACAACCCCTCTTTGGTTTCGGATGTATTAAGTGTTTACTCCATGCATTTCGCCATGCTCAACAGAACTCCAGTCTACTAGCTCTCTGCTTGGTGAAAACCTCGGAGAGTACGTCTACACTGCGATAAAAGACCCACAGCAGAGCTGCAGCTGCCCTGGGTCAACTGACTCAGGTTCGTGGGGCTGATGCTGTGGGGCTTTACAAGTGCAGTGTAAACATTTGGGCTCGGGCTGGAGCCCTGGCTCTAGCACCCTCCCCCTTCATGAACATCTGCACTGCAGTTTTATAGCCCTGCAGCCCGAGTCCTCTGAGCCCGAGTCAGCTGATCTGGGCCAGCCGTGGGTCTTTTCAAGAGTCATTAATAGACACCACAATTAGCTGTGGGTGGAGTCGAGACAATACTGAGAATGCAGCTCTGCACAGACTTGTAAACTTGCGTTTTCGGACCTGGAATGTTTTAAGATCTGACACTCACTGAGTCATACAATCATTTAGCCCTATTATCATCAGATTGGTAAAAAGGGAAATTCTTAAATTCTACTTCAACTCCCAGAGAAAGTTGTTGCTTGTATAACTCAACTCACTTCCCTTTGTAACAGCAGCCTGACTGTGCACTGCAAAACTATACTGTATCATTAGGATATTTCAGGACAAACTTTTCAGCTCCAGTATTCATTGAAAAAGAGCTTTTAAAAATAGAGTGGTAAGGAGAGACTTTCAAAGGCAGAAAGGGGAGTCTGGCACACAACTGAAAGTCAATGGAAGTTGGGCAACTAACTTCCCCTTGGGCCTTTGAAACACTCCCCTGTAACGGAGTGTACTGCTACTCAGAAAAAGGGCAGCTTTCTCCAGGTTGTAGCAGTCTATACCATATGCCTTTCAAATGGTGTCTAAAGTCCATTCAACGCTTTATAATGTCTTCCTGTTGATATTAAGTAATGAACCTTTATCTGAAATTTATCTCCTAGACTAGGGCTCTTTCTGGGGGCAGGGATTGTGTATTTATACAGTACAAAGCATAATGGGGTCCCATGCCTTGATTGGGGCCTCTACTAAAAATAATAATGAATAACTAAAACATTCACTTCAGATCATATTAATCACATTAAAGCAATTTTGGAGACATGCTAAACACTTAGGGTATGATTCAGACTTTCCTCACTGACTTCAGGAGGCACTGGATCGTGCCCTCTGTAAACACCAGGAATTCGTATTGGGTCAAGTCATGATCAGAGCTGAGCACCTGGTCTTAATTCAGGTTTTACTCAAGCAAAATTATAGCAGAAGTCAACGGGCCATATCCTGAGAAGTGCTGACCAGCTGCAACTCCTACTGAATTCAGCAGCTGCTCAGTGCCGCTCCAGCTCTGGTGCACACACTTTGCCTGAGTAAGGATTGAGTAAAATTAAGACCCTCAGGGTTTATTTAATCTGATGAGTTGCAGGTACTCAGCACCTCTCAGGATTCGGTTCATTGAGCACTAGACA